CCAAGGCAGTTCTCATCCCTTTCACCTCTGTTTCCACCCCGAGGACCCGGCACGGCAGCTGGCACGTGGTGGGCACACCGTGACATGCCTGTCGTAGAATCTCGTTTCATACCTGCCGTTGAATCTACTTGCTGTCCTTGTCATGGGGAGCAGTTTTTCCTTTAGGATTGGTTGAATCAAAGCATCATCTCCAAGGTTCACCCTCTGTGTGTAATTCTGAACATCTACACGAACGCCCAGCAGTGTGTGAGATATATGTACATGCTATGGGTAGAAGTATGCGCCCCCCCTCCCCCCCAAAAAAAGGTTGAAGTCTGAACTCTCGGTACCTGTGAATATGACTCTTTTTTTTTAATTTTGAAATAGGGTTTTTGCAGATATAATCAATTTAAGATGAAGCCATTAGGGTGGGCCCTAACCCCATAGACTTGGTCTCCTTACAAGAGGGCAATGTAGAGACAGAGGCACACAGGGAGATGCCATGTGAGGACAGAGGCAGAGATCGGAGTGATGCAGCTACAAGCCGAGAACACCAAGGATCGATGGGTGCCGCCAGAAGCTAGAAGAGGCAAGGAAGGGTACTACCTGGGCCCTGCTGACACCCCGATTTCAGAAATCTGGTCCCCAGAACGATGAGAGAATAAAGTTCTGTCGTAAGCCACTTGTTTTGTGGTAATTTGTCACGGCAGCCTTACGAAATGAATACACTACAATAATCAAAAATGGTCACTTTTTGTTTGCTTCTAAGTTTAGCACTTCTGTAATGTCAACTTTCATATATGTAATTTGTGTTTGAGTAGTATCCACTTCATTATGTTGTATCCACCTGCTCAATCATTTAACATTAACTGAGCAACTAATATGTGCCAGACCCTGTACAAGGTACCAGAGCAACGAAAGTGGGGAAGCCAAGAGACCATGGTGAGGACTGTTTTGTGAGGAAGCCAGTTATATAAACGGACAGCCATACAAAAGCAATGCAGTCAGTTCTCTAAACACGGTAACAGAAATGAACATTCACTGAGAGTGTGCTTCCCAGGTGCCTGAGCACCTCGTACACACGGTCACAACTGATCCGCACACGAACCAACGAGGGAAGCTGCTATCAGGATGCCCACTTTCTGATAGGTGAACTGAGACTCAGAGACTCTGACCTGGACGGTACCACATGCAAAGCCCATGCTGGATACTGAGAGAGCACGTGAAGATGGAGACTCGCTCCAACTGGGCGTGCACGGAGAAGTGCACTTTGATTCAGAACAGCAAGGAAGAGTCATTCAAATGCTAAAGCATCTCAGTAGTTGAATTTTCAGAATTCAACTAAATATATAAATATATAAATAGGCAATGGGCAAAGAAATCGTGATTGTCCTTCTTCGGTCATTAAAAAGCACAACATAATGCTCCTGGTGGCTCATCAGTGCAAAGAGCCGTCATACCTGTGTGTACCTGCACAGGAAGGTAGTACCAAGGCCCTCATTTTCTCCTTTGCTCCTGTCTATACTTTTCGAATTAGCAATAAGGAAAATATCATCTGTATTATTACTCTGGCTGATACTTTGTAGCACCTTATGTGTTATGGGCATGTTCTCAGCGCTCATGCGTTAACTCGGCTAATCCCCACCATGGCCCCGTGGTGTAGGCTCTACTATTAGACCCATTTTATAGAAAAGGAAGCTGAGACCCAGAGAGATTAGACAAAGCACCCATAGTCACGGAGCGGGATTCAAACCCAGACAATCTAGCCCTAGAGTTCATGCTATTAACCACTTCGCTATGACACAGGTGGGGACATTTTTTTGGAGGAACTGTGCTTAAAGTGCCTCAGCTCCAATCTGAAGCCATGAGCCCAATTGTCAATCTCCTCTGGTGCTATAAAGTTTTTCTACACACATTTTCTGCTTTTTTTCCCTCTGCCCATTTCTAATATTCTGGAATGAGCTAAAAATATAATATACAACATATAAAAATAATGGTATGCTCATGCTTGTCTATGGTGGCAGAAAAACTTCCCTATTAGGACAAACCAAGGGATGTGCAGTTTCAGCCAAGAGTGAAGAGTTGATAGCTAGCAAATGACAGAAAATAAACAACAGAAAAAAAGAACCCAGCCGTCAAGGTAGGGAGTCACCTAATTTATGCCACGTGCAGAGCAGGCTCTGGATATGTGTCAGTTTGGGGAGGGGGGAGAGGAAGGGGGAGGAGAAAAGGAGGAGGGGAGGAGGAGAGAGAAGTAGGGAGAGGAGGAAGAGAAAGAAGGAGAGAAGGAGGGGGGGAGGGGAGGGGAATAAGGAGGGGAATAAGGAGGAGTGAGGAAGACAGTAAATGGCAGACAAGGTCACACTAAGTGCTGAGTAACCCTGAGAAACACTTACATGGTGAGGAGTGTGGCACACCATGTGGCCAGGGGCTTCACATTCACAAAGATCCTCCTAGAATCTGTTTCTTAAATGAGAGCCTAAGACATTTAAGATTGCCATTTTTGTGGTCGAAAAATGGTCAGATACTGGCGAGTCCATGTTTCAACTTATACACACATATAGTTACAGATTAACACTGGCAAAACTTAAAGAAGCGTCCATCTAAAATGTAAACTAGAGTATACTTTTTGTAAACTTTCGCCATTTCTCCTTCTCCTCTCTCTCTTTACCTCCCTTCTTCTCTTCCCCTCCCCTCCCCTCTGCTCTCACCCTCTCCTCCCCTCTCCTCCTTCCTTTTCTTTTCACTTTAAACTGTATTAGGAGCCTCACGGTGAGCTTTGCTTGGCACTGGAGAACATTTCATGGGAAAGATGCAAACAGCCATGTGTACGCACTTGTGTGCTGTGTACACATGCACCTGTACAGTGTACCCATGTCCGAGGAAGGATGCAGGGCGCCTTCTCCTGGTGGCTGAGACTACATGACACACAGGACCAGAGCTGCTCCTGCCCTCACTGTTAGTGCCAGCTGGCTGCGCAAAAGTCACGTGGCCAGACTTCGAGCTCAGCCCTGGCAGGACAGGAAAGGGATAACTGCGGGGAGCATACCACACTGGCCACTAGGACCTGGGGCCTTCGGCACAGATGCCCAGTGTACCCCAGATTTTTCAACACTGAAGAGCTTGAACAAAAAATTTCTAAGGTTGCAATACCTTTTGTGCTGCCTGATTGCCTACCCGGAACTCAGGTGTTCAGAGGCAAAGGTAATGAAAGGCCAGGAAGGCAGGGCATGTGCCTTGTGGCCAGGAGCATGAGCATCCTGGCTCTACCCCTTCCTGGCTGCAGGAGTTCGGGCGGGTTCCTCATCAAAGCCCCACGTCCTCATCTTTAAAAGGAGATGCTAGCAGGACTGTAGTGGGGGAGGAGGGAAACGCGGGCTGGCGTCATATAGGGGAGATGGGGGTAGGAAGCCCTCGGCACACAAAGTACCAAAACATGCTGGGCGACCGAAGCCTCTGAAACTGCTTTCCCTAGAGAGTGAAAAAAATCTGCTCAAGGGAGATCAAGTGTAGTCTAAACAGCGATGGCTTTGCCAGTCTTTGTGGTGTCATTTGCAGCCCGTGATCTCCCTTTGTGCTCATGATACACAATCTTATAGTCCCGATGCCCAGGCCACATGAAGAGATGAAACTGAGTCACAGACACTGAGGCAGGGCTCCTTTTCTTTGACACCTTAATTTAAAACAATGAATTTTTTTTTTTTTTTTTTAAGTCTCAAAGCCACTTTGGGCACCCTGCCAGCAGGCAAGATGACTGTTTTCCTTCAGAGGGCTCTAATTCCCATTGTGCAACTTAGAACCTGGGGGAAAATGCAAAACAATAAACCATCTGCCAGGCTTTCAGACAGTGCAATTTGCAAGAAGTGCTTTTTACATCTTAGCTCGGCTCTGCATTAAGCCTGGATTAATTAATTGCCACATTAAAGGAAAGCACCTTTAACATTTCAATGACATAATCATATGCAATTATGATCGTATGAAGGAACACTTTATAATTAATGATGCCTCCACTTCCTGAAATGTGTAATTCTCCTGTCTTGGATTCCAAAGAGGCTGGCAGAAAGAAGGTGCTAAATATAGATCAGGAACTAATATTTAAATCAGCCTTTAATTCACCTTTCGCTATGAACAGTAAAACCAGAACTTAGGGCTCTAAGTCTATGTCTATGAGGCTAAATTATCAGCAACAACAGAGCCAGACAGAAATGCTCAACAAAGACAGGCCTGAAGTGATGGCCCCTAAATAGGAATAATTTTGCCCTCTCAGGCCCATTTACTGCTTTTCCAGAAATGCACACAAACCCTCCTGGCTCTGGCAACCATGCTGTGGAATCACTTAACAAAGCACTCTGACTCGTCTGTGTGACTCGAAAAGAAAAACTTTTTTTTTTGATTAAGGAAATTTCCCGTGAAGTTGCAACCCCACGTACCCAAGCATTGTTCTAAGTCTGACCATGTGACAGACACAAGTACTGACCATGTGACACTTGTTTAGTCTTCACAACAATCCTGACATGGTACTATTAGGACCCCATTTGCATAAATGAGGACAAGGAGGCAGCAAATGGTTAGATAACTTGCCTGAGCTACCATTTCCCCCAGGAAAGGCCCATTCGAGGGAACTACAAACCAGATAGGATACACTGATTCTCTAGATTTTAACATTTATTCTGTCACTCAAGCAACTAACCATGAGGGAAGCCCCAGAACCTCCCTACATCTGATTTCTGTTGTTGGCAAAGTTTGGCAGCAACTACACGTGAAAATGCAGAAGGAACGAAATTTGACCCACGGTCACATCCAAAGGGTTTCCAGAAAAATAGACCTATAGTATTTTTTTATACTGTAGAAAAATACCTACGTTTTTTTTCTCAAAACAAAACAAAACCGAAAACTGCACAAATTGCCTCCATGTGATTTCCCGACTTGCTTCACAGTACACCGTTATCCACCTTCATCAGTGGAATATGGAGGTGGCTCTCCACCTGCCCAAGACAGCCTCGTGCAAGGCAAGGGTTTACCTTGTCGTAATAGTATCGCAGGGCTCTGCTCAGCTTATCGTAATTCATGTTTGTTTTGTTTTTCCGGAGTCCCCACAGCTTGGCCACTTCTTCTGCTTTGAGGAGCTTGAATTCACCATCGTTGGAGGTCCAGCAGATCAGATGCTCATGCTTCTGGTCCAGCAGCAACTGCAACAGGAACTGCCACAGCGTGATTGCACTCTCCATACCTGGGGAGGGAGGGGACAGGTCAGCGCGCGAGCTCACATGCCCAGTCTGGTGGAGAAGGGGCTTTGGGATGAGCGCCTCAGCTCCCCGCCGCCGCCCGCCCCCCCAGTGAGCCAAAGTCACGTTCACATCCATCCCAACAGGCCACTCTGAATCAGGTGCTTTCCGGCTATATTTTCGTAAACGGCCAGAAATACAAGGAAGCACTGTGATCCTCCTGTTGGCAAGGCACATTCCTGCAGGTGACAGGGTTGCATCAGGAATAAAGTGAAAAAATGATTAATGAACTGCCCACTTGTAGAATTAGTCCCTACACAATTCCCCACTTAGCACTAGAGTCTGTTCCCGCCCATCCTATCGAGTCCTTTATTGGTCAGTCTCTAGTCCACTGATGGCTATGAATGTGGACCCCATGATAAGCACATTTATGTGGAGGCCCGGGGTAATGGGGCTGGGGCATACCAGTCAGTTTAACTGCAGAAGGAACTTCACAAGGAAGGGACTTTGTTGAATCGCTCTTTGTATTCCCGGCACTCATAACCCAGCACCCGGCCTGATGTAGCATGCGGCCAACCGACAGATGTTTGTGGGACTGAAGAATCGGTCGTTGCCACTTAGAGACCGACCCTTAACTCTCCCAGGCACTCATCACATTGCAGATCAAACCCCACCATCACAAATGCAGAGGTGGGAAAAGCATTTTTCCTCCGCTATGATAGGAAAGCCTGTAAAACGCTATCTTTTCCCTCTGGTCCTGATATGAGCTTTGTTAAGTGCTGTTCCTTCTGCCTAGAATGCTGTTCCCTAGCTTCGAACCCTGGAGAACCCCTACTCATCCATCGTGATGCAATTCAAATGGGGCTTTCTCGAAGAAATTTTTCCCCACTCCCCTAGGTCGTTCCCCAACTTCAGATTTCTGAGGACTTTCATGGCAATTAATTCTAAAAGTAATAATAGCAATAATAATCACAGTAAATAACCCGTTTGTCTTATCGACATTTGTTAAATTAGGAAAGAAGAGATGGTTGGGCTGGACCCGAAAGCTTCACTCGGATCAGCTGTCATGACGAGATGTGTGATGTGCCTTGGCTTTCGATGGGGACAGGATGGGGGTGACATTCCAGGGCGAGGCTGAGGAAACCAGAGATGAACGGAGGGTGGAAAAATGGCTTCTGGCAAGGAGAGAAGCTTCGAAGGCAAGCTGTGAGGTGGAGACAAAGCCAGAAAGGACGGGAATAGCAAGGAGGGGGTGCTGAAGACCTAGGAGACAGCCAGGGGTGACCGGAAGTAGAGGGCAGTGAGAAAGGTACACGCCTCTGGGAGAACTGGAAGCCAGAGTAAGTGCCTTAGGGAGAGTGATCTGTACCAATATTTTTGTCAGCTCCACATCTCCTCTCATGCATCCCTCTTAAAGGACAGCTGTCAGACTGACAAATTATTTTTCTCCCCTTCCACGAGGGAATGAATGTGAAGATACCTCGTCACCCAGTAAGTATTCGTTTCCTCATATCCTTTCATGGATTTAACCCAAAGAACACATTTTGTTGTTTCTCTGAGCAACGTGGGTTTCTCGGGTGAAGGAAAGCAGGCTAAGAATCTCATACAGCGTTTCATTTACGGTTCTTTAAAGGAGAAATTCTTTACAGAAATCAACCTTTCCCACAATGGCCACTCAGTCTGTGGGAGAGTAAACTATTTCGCTGTTGGATCAGCACTGCCTTTGCATCTCACGAGTCTTGTGAGCAGCTTGCCAGTTCCAGCTCCTAATATGAACCACCCTTCTGCTTATTTGAGGACGAGCCACAAACTTTCTCCTCTTCATTGGCGCTAAGAATTGCGAACAGTTGTCTCAAATTCTTCGGTGTTTTCTTGGCCAAACAGTTCAGACAGTAACCTTTAAAATATCTTTGAAACTCACAGGGGTTGCTCAGAAGAACTGCTCCAAAGGGCAGAAGGCTGCCAGTGGGTGTGGAGGTCTGAACAGAAGGGGCCTGTGGCTCACATGCCAGGTAGGAAAGCGGTCAGCCACCTGCTCCTGCCCCGCCTGTAAGGACACGAACCATCACGTTCCAGATGGGGCAAGGGGACAATGGAAACATCTCCATGTGTTTTACACTTAGTGCTTCTTCCAACCAGGACTCTTCAGAGCTTCCTGTGCTTTCTGCAATCCTTTCTCGTGGCATTCCCACCCCATGTATGGGAGTCATGTTCTCCAGATGGAACTAATAAGGACATATGTAGTACACTGGATAAATGTTCTCACACCTTCCCGTCCCCCGTTCCAGTGACCTTGCCGCAGTGCGCTAGAATAGACGAGCTACTCTTCTATCCCACTGAAATGTGGGTTTGGCCATGTGCTTTAATTTGGCCAACGGAATGCAAAGTAGGAGTTACAATGTGCCGATTCTGAGCCGAGGTCCAAAAGGCTTTGCGTGTCTCCATTTTTCTTCCCGTGCTCCTGTTACTACCCTGAAGCTGCTGCCCCAAAACAAGACACGCGGAGCCAACCTGAATTCAACCTAAAGCCTGGGGCCAAGCCCCACGATCCACAGTCTGAATCGGCATCCCTGAAGCCAACCCATGAGAAAATAAATGCTATCGTAAGCCAGTGAGTCTAGAAAGAGTTTATTACGCAGCACCATGGCAGCAAAGGTTGACTATTACAATGCCCAACGGCTTTGCTGAAAAATTCTCTCTTCACCGGGGTGCAATGTCTTTACGCTACAGAGCTTCCATTCACAATCAGGAGGTGTGTCTAGACATGAAAAAACATCCTGTGAGATGTGGGGGGATTGGCTGGTCATGTCTTTACTCCGAGGGTCACAGTGAGCTAAGTGATGACCGTGGGTGCTCTGACCGGGGCCGAAGACAAAGGAGGAAAAAGGAAATGGGCAAGAAAAAGAAGAGGTGAAAGAGTAGAAAGTGAAAAGGCAGACGAGCAAATGGTGGGATAGGGACCCCCTGATCAGGGGCCTCCCAGACTTCTGGAAGAGAGGAACTGGCTCCAGGAGCTGTGAGCCACGACTCACAGGGTCTCCCTGCAGGTTCTTAATCTCCCACCGAGCTTGGCTGGGTGGGCCCCTTCCTTCCCCCTCCTTCCTCCCTCGCTGAAGGGGAGTCACGGCCAGGCTACAACTGAGCAAGCCCTGGAGGACAACTCAGAAGGGTTAAGCGTGAGTAAGACTGCTCCACCGGAGGTGGCTAAGGCACGAAGCCACTCCTGCCTAAAGCATGTCCAGCCCAGTGCGGAGGCCTTCATTCCCCTCTTCTCCAGCCCTCCCCAGCCACTCCCCTGCCCTGGCTGGTCCCCCAGTATCGATGACTGTGCCGCACACAAATCTTCATTGCTGGAAATCCCACACCTTACTCAGAGATGAGTCTCAAAAATATTTCCTGGTGAACTTATCATCACATCTACAAACATGTGTCACCCCCTTCTATACTCAGCAGAAGTAATTCTGGGAAACGGTGGAACCGCCCCCCCCACCCTGCCCCACCCCAGGCAGCTCTGGACCCTCCCACGCCCTCTGGCCAGAGCCACTGGTGGGATGTGGGGGAGCAGGGGCGTGGGGGACAGCAGGGCGGGGCCACCAGCTGATACCGCTGCTGCGGTTCTCTCCATTCAAGAGCACTCTCTGTGTGTCTTTGATTTTTAGTTCCAATGTTAATCTGTTTAAATTAGGATTCGATCAAGTGTCACCATTTACACAGCTGTTTTCACATACAGTCATGCTTTCTGTTCTATCATACCTCTGCCAGCTGCAAATTTTGTCCCTTCTGGGACACTGGAAAAGGCTCTAACATAGTGACTGGGGAGCATGCCCTTCTCACAGCCGCCAACACTGAACGTATTAGCAAATTCATCCAAATGAGTATCTCTCACCAGGAAAAAAAAAAAAAAAATCAGTGTTTTTTTTTTCTAAATTAGTCCTCCATGCCTAGAATTATCCATGAAGCCTTATATCTTAATATACAGGTACGATCAAGTCCAATTTCTCTGGCTGCCATTACAAGGACTGTGAGTCATGCAGACAGCATACTATGGCTCCTATTGAATGAAAAGTTCAAGAAAGTGTTGATACTTGAGATTTATGCCCGAGACATTATTATGCAAACGAAGGCCTACTTTAAGTTAAAATGTCTCATCAGCCTAACCCCATTCAGCTGATTTTCAAGACTCTCCACTTAAAATACATAGAACACATGAAAGAAATGCTATAAATCTTTTAAAAATATTCCCCAAAGTCAAATTTCTGCTCATTAGAAAATGCTTCTCTTTCCTCTCCCCACTTCCCAGAACTTATTTTGAATGTATGACATTCTGTCAGGTATCGCAATGCCCTTCTTTACACAAGACTAAACTGCGCTTTTCTATCCAGGCAGGTCAGTCCACTTTCACGGCCATCGGGGCTCTTACGGGAAGAGGTGGCCTCTAGCATTTGATGCCTTCTCCACTCCTCTGACTTCAGCTTGGTGGTGCCGCCTGCAATGGCTCACCTCTCACCATCCCCGCTGGAGCTAAGCAAACACACACCGGTCACAGCGGCTGGCAGACCCTCCCCCAGGCCTCGCCACAGAACAAGGCTACCTGCCATTTGCCCCAACTGCTTCTCTTCCTTTGTAGTTTATATCCTAGATCTGGCCACAGTGTGGAGTATAGTTAGACCATCTAAAATCGTTCATCCGGTTTGGATACACTTAACTTCTTTTTAAAGGAGCAGGGGAGAAAAATTTAATAGGTTCCTCATGTTGACAAAGTATTTTCATTAAAATTTTTTTAATATTTTTCCTCATTTCATTATAAATTATCTCATTTAATTGTAAACCTAGCTCCTCTAGGCTTATAATTCTCATATAATGATAAAATGAAATTCACAGATAAAACACATTCCTCCCCCCACTCAACATAAGTTTACACACGTGAGATAATTTTGTTGAAACGCAGCCAACACTCACCTTAAGGTTATGGCAATGACTGAGCCAACGTAGGTTCTTCTAGGTA